GTGGGACCCCCTCCTCCTAACAGGAAAGGGGAAGGAAGGTCACAGGAAGCCGGCTTCCCCAATTTCACGAGTCAGCTGCCAGCTGCAGTGGGAAGGCCAGCTGTTCCCTCCATTCCAGCACAGCCGAGCTCTTCCCCCACCCCACCCCCCCACCCCCTCCCCGGGGAAGACTCAGCACGCAGTTTCTCCCAAGTGTTCCTGCCAAGGGTCTGGCTTCTGCCACCTGTAAGACAGGACTGACAATATGTGGTTCCCAGAGGCCGGGCTCAGGGTGGGGGCCGAGGGAAGGGAGGGGGCCTTTCTCCTGTGCCCAGCCTTGACCCCCCCAGCTCAGGCCTCCAAGCGTCCCCTGTCCCTCTGTCTGCTCTGAGCTTTTGCAGCCAAGGACAGCTGGTGCCTTGACCTTTCCCTCACTCCACGGCCATGATCCTGGAGCCACGGGCCTCCGAGAGCTCGTAGGCCAGGCCCGCATCTCGCATTAGGGTCCTAGAAGCAGAGCCTGAGATGGCTATCCCTGTGAAAACGTAAACGGGAGAGTGCTCTCAGGAGCCAAGCCAGGAGGGAAGCAGGATGGGGCAGGAGAGAACCAAAGCAAGGACATGGCCTCCAGCTCCCTGGACATGGCTGACCCGGGGAGCACTGGAGCCATCACACCAGGGCATTCGCTCAGCCCGTGATGTCCTGGGTCAGGCACTGGCTGCAGGCCGGGCTGGGAGGTGGGCACCTGGGACGGTTAATGTGCACACGTTGAGCCAGGACAGGGAAGAGGAGCAGTGAGCCTGCAGCTGGTAAAGGGGTCTGGGTGGAGCACCCACGGCAGCCACTACACCCACGCCCTCTGGGTGGGGAGCCCCCAGGCAGCTAGCTGGGTCCCAGCCCACAGACTTGCTTCAGCCCATTGTCCGTAGTGCCACGTGGAAGCGCAGGAGTCCTGTCTCCAGATGAGCACACGGGGTCCCAGGAACAGGTGATGAAAGAGCAGCAGGGCCCAGCCGGAGCCGAGGCCATACCTCCTGACTTCTGGGACAGGGTCTTCTAGCTGGGGTCATGACCTCCCCTCCCCACAGAACGCCATGCTTCTGTGGTACATGCACACGTGGGTATTTTGGGGGAGAAAAGCCACGTGTACCATGGAATCTCAAAGGCAAGGAAACTAAGCATGACTGTTGGTCCTCACCTAGTTATTGCCACGGACACGTCACCGACCGGGTGGGCGTGAAAGGAATTCTGGGCTCAACAAATAGCTGGAGAACTCTGTCCCCCTCCCGGCCTGGCCTGCATGTGGGAGGAGAAGGGGCTTCCTTTCTCCCCCCATTCCATCTTGGGGGGGCTGGACCCGAAGTCTAGGGCCAAACCCCACAGCTGCCTGAAGGCTGCCACTTACACACACTACACCTCTGTACAAGATAGGAAAAGACACCCTCTCGAGGAGGCAAACCCCAAACAACACCCCCTCAGCCAGTGAACTTCAGCAAGGGCCCCTTCTTCAGGTCGGCCTGCCCGGGCTCCCCTGATGGCTGCCCCCCACCTTGGTTCTGCAGGGCCTCTCCCCACTAGGGAACAAGCCCAACACTCTCCCTGGGCCCTCAGATGCTGAGGCCTGTGTTCAGGGTGAGAGAAGGAGCGGGAAAAGGCCGCGTGGGTGCTTAGGACTCTGAAATCTTGAACTAGGGCAGCGATGGGGCAGCATCTCAATGAAGCTGCCGACAGATTCTGGGCTTCGAGCCAGCTGCACAGCAGACCTGTGAGGGGGCCGGGGCCGTGCCAGCCTGGCGGGGCCGTTGAAATCAGGGCCAGGGAGCACACAGCAGCTGCCCAGCCACCGTGGCCATGGAGGTGCCCCCAAGGCTGCAGAGGCTGAGGGACATGAGGGTCCTGGAAGGCAGAGAGCCTGCGCAGTTGGCAGCCACTGAGTCCTGCCAGGAGCTGGCGGAGTCGGGATGTGCATCTGAGGGAGCGGGTATCTTACCATATTTCCGTTCCTCAGCAAGAGCCTGCCTGTGGGGACTGGAGTGGTGCCACCAAGTCACTTCCAGGGACCCCAGTCCCTCCATCCTTCCTGCTCATTAGAATCACCTGGGCCTTAAAGCAATACAGCTTCTGGGCCGCCCTAGGATTCCCTCACCCGGGAGGAGGGTCAAGCATCACTTACTCACCTATTTTTAGGCTCTGGGGTATTTTACTGTCCAGCCAGCCAGAGTCAAGAACTACTGACGTGATCATAAGCTCCCAGAGCAGCGCCTCACTCCAGAAAGGGCTCTGAGGACACGTAGGCTTGGGAAATACCTTCTCTTCTAGCTCCTCTTGGTGACAGGACACACTGACATCTCAGAGACCTGCCCAAGCAAAAATGTCTTTGCTCTGGAGACTGGTGGTGGCGGTGGTTGTGTGTGTGTGTGTGTGTGTGTGTGTGTGTGTGTGTGATATTGTCTCTATTTTATAAATGGGACTCCAAGAGGTTAAAGAATTTGCCTGATGTTGTCACCGTGGTCCGCAGCAGAGAGCCGATTCAGACCCAGGGCTCCCTCCGCTTCTCACATCATCCGCACCCAACACTCAACACACCCGAACACCTCCAGAAATGGGGGTCTCCATGACTCCTCCTGGGGGTCAGTTGGCCCAGGTGGGGCTGTGGCAGACTGTTTCACACAGCTCCCTCTCCCAGCTGGATTCTGGGGGTCAGGACCCTCCTTCTTCCTGTCCAGCCCCTCGCAGAGCAGAGCTGGCAGAAACTGTCCTCACTGTGGGGGTGCTTGGAGACCCCGTGTGCCAAGATCCTCTCAGTCGGGTGCAGCCCCTCAGTTCTCCCTGCTCTCTGTCCCCTCTGAGGGCTGGAAGGGAAGGTACAGCTTCCGAATTCTATTTCTGCACGTCAACATCCATCGTCCACCTTGCTTTCCCAACACTTAAAAGTGAGTTATTCATTCTTCCAGGCGCAGTGGTGGCATGGAAGGCACCAGGGAGGCTCAGAAGGAAGTCACTGGAGGTGGTGTGATCACCCTGCAGTGGGGTTGTAGGCCCAGCACACTCCCAAACTCAGGCTGTTCTCCTGACCCCCACCGAGTCCCTGCTCCCTGCTCCTCAGGCTGGGGTGGTGGTCCCCCTGTCAAAAGAATGTCAAAGAAATTCCCCAGGGCCCCAAGTCGCCACTCCTTCAGCAGAAAGGAGCTCCTAGAGCCGGTGAAACCTGAGTCCCGGGGAGCGGCCTGGACGCAGAGCCTGTCTGAGTTCTCAGAACCTGCACGAAGACGTGTGGGAAAGTCTCCTCTAGCCGGTTCCTTTTCTCAGGCTCAAACTAATGAAGGCGAAACCTTGCCTTTCTCAGGAGTCTGCCGCATGCCACCAGGCAGTTCCTGAGAAAGGCTTGGTGAACACTCTCGGGCTGGCCTGTGGCAAGACTCACTCATATTGTGTCCCGTTCTCTGGGGACACTTGTTCTAGCAACAAATCAATGTCTTCCCACAAGATGTGCGGATGATAAGCTTCTGCTCCCCAGTGATGTTTGTGAACTGAAGATCCACCCCATCGGCACCTGCCCCCCCCCCCCTCCACAAGAGGGGACTCTACATCCACCTGACAACTCTTTCCTATCCCCTGAACAGACCAGCCGAAAGGAAGCAGGACAGGAAGGCAGACTCAGAGAGGTATAGGAGGGGCCAGGAGAGCTGGGCTGAAGTTGCCATGAGAGTGAGCAAGGCACAGGCAGAGTGACAACTGATAGTCCAGAGACGCAGGCTGGTGGCACCTGGAAAGTCTGGTTGGGGCTTCAAGTGCCCAGGCCGGGATAATCCTCAATGGCAGGCTCTCCAAGGTGGGCCCAGCTGGCTAGCACCCCAGAACCCAGAAGGGCTGGTACCCTGGTTGGCAGAATAACTGTGCACATGCCAAGGGCTTCTCTGTGTACTTTATGTTCATTAGCTTATTTAATCTTTCCATCAATTCTGCAATACCTACTGTTACTATCCCCATTTTACAGATGAAGTAACTGAGGCACAAAGAAAGCAGATAACTTGCCTAGAGGCATCCAACTGGTATGACGCAGAGTCAGGATTTGGACCCAGGCAGTCTAGCTCCAAAGCCTGTGCAGTAAACCACTGCACCACAGCTCACGCACAGGAAAGAGGATCCAGTTATTGGGTGTGCAGGTTACTGTGGCTGCACAACCCCAACACTCAGTGGCTTAAAACATCATCAATCATCTCATTAGTTCATGAATCTGCAATCTGGGCAGGGCATGGTGGGAAAGGTTAGGTTCTACTCTGCAAGGCGGTAGCTGGGCAGCTCGTCTGAGAACAGGAGGACGAACTGCAAGACGACTCACTCACAGGGTGAGCAAGAATTGACTATCGCTGGGAGCTCAGCCAAACCGAGCTCAGGCTTCCTCACACCATGGCTGGTTCCAAACTGAGAATCCCAAGACACAGGAAGTGGAAGCTGACAGTTTCTGAAAGACTAGGCACGCCGTCACCTTTGCCATACTCTATTGGTTGAAAATATCAAATATTTCAGGTTCAAGGGGAGGGGATGCAAACCTCGCCTCCAAACAGGAGAGTCAGAATTTGAGGTCCGTGTTTTAAACCTGCACATGGGGCCTCGGCTCCGGAGGAAGGACTGGATCTCAGGAATGGGGGAGAGGCAGCCAACTGTTAGCTCTTGTTCAGGCCAGACCAGGAGAAGGCGAATGAACCATGCCACACCAATCAAGTAGGTCTCCGGTGAGTGCCCGGTCTTGGCCCTCATGGACATTATCTCAACTTACCTTTGCAACAACCCTTGGACACAGGTTTTCTCACTTCTCTGTGCAGATGAGCACATCTATACAGAACTCAGAGAGGGCATAAGTCTCATCCAAGGACACACAGCTGGGAAGTGGCAGAGCTTTTCTAATTCCAGAGATGAACCCTTAACTCCTCCTGTGGGCTGCCCCCAGAGGTCTGACCAGGGAAGCCGGGAAGAGGCACGAGGGCGAGGAGCCAGGCTATCATTCCCCACCCACTCACCTCCTCCAGAAGTCCTCCCAGATCAGGGAAGGGCTTCGGAACACCCTGTTCCAAGGCATCCTTTCCTTCTGGCACCTCTGCTCAGGCTGGGACACGTACAGACCTTTCTCCTGGGCCCTGTCTCCCAATCTGTTTTTCTCAATCCTGAGAAGTTCCCGAAATCCCCTCTCTCTACTTCCTTGAAACCTTCCCTGAGGCATTCTCCCAATACCACTTGTCTCAGCCATAAGCTCTGAATAACTACCAGCATAGGGCCTTCAATATTTCTAATACAAGTTTTATTTTGGAATAGCTTTATATTGACAGAAAAATTATGAAGGTGGTACAGAGAGTTCCCATATTCTCCACACCCAATTTCCCCTATTATTATCCTATCTAATAATAGAGAAACATGGTAATTAACCTTAACTTTGCTACCCTTCCCATTGGCTAATCAGCAAGATATGCAAATTAACTGCCAACCAAGATGGCGGCCGGCAGCCAGGCAGCTGAAGCGAACAGGAGGCTTGCTTGCTCCAGTGATGGAGGAAGCCAAGGTTCCTCGCCTGCCGCAGCCCAGCTGTGAGCTCCAGATGCAACAATGTTGAAATTATAGAAGCTAAACAAACCCAGAAACCTGCTTTCAGCTGCCAGTGGGCTCAGAGTTTAGAGCGCCAGTGATGGCAACAGAGTTTCAATTATAGAAGCTAAACAAACCCAGATACCTGCTTTCAGCCAGCCACAGCCTCAGAGCTGGAGCTTGCTCTCAGCTCCAGTAACAGCTATAGAAGGTAAATAAATCCCAGAATAAAAAAAAGAAAAAAAAAAGAGGCTGGGAGCTTCAGTTTCCCGCCAGCCTGAAAACGGCCCTCAGCCCTTCACCCAGACTGGCCAGGCACCCCAGTGGGGACCCCCACCCTGAAGGGGGTGTGACCAGCTGCAAACAGCCATCAGCCCGTCATCCAGGCTGGCCAGGCACCCAAGCGGGACCCCCACCCTGATCCGGATCACCCTTCAGGGCAAACCAGCCGGCCCCCACCTGTGCACCAGGCCTCTATCCTATATAGTAAAAGGGTAATATGCAAACTGACCCTAACAGCAGAAAGACTGGGAATGACTGGTCACTATGACACACACTGACCACCAGGGGGCAGACGCTCAATGCAGGAGCTGCCCTCTGGTGGTCAGGACACTCTCACATGGGAGGAGCTCTGCTCAGCCACAAGCCAGGCTGATGGCTGCCAGTACAGCGGTGGTGGTGGGAGCCTCTCCTGCCTCCTCAGCAGCTCTAAGGATGTCTGACTGCAGCTTAGGTCTGCTCCCCGCTGGCAAATGGACATCCCCCGAGGGTTGCCGGGCTGCCAGAGGGATGTCTGATTGCCATCTTAGGCCCAATCCCCCAGGGAGCAGGCCTAAGCCAGCAAGTGGTCCCAAGGGGTCCCAGACTGCAAGAGGGCACAGGCCGGGCTGAGGGACCCCCTACCCCCGAGTGCACAAATTTTTGTGCACCAGGCCTCTAGTCCTATATAATAAAAGGGTAATATGCAAATTGACCCTAACAGCAGAACTACCAGGAACGACTGGTCGCTATGATGCACACTGACCACCAGAGGGCAGATGCTCAATGCAGGAGCTGCCCCCTGGTGGTCAGCGTGCTTCCACAGGGGGAGCACTGCTCAGCCAGAAGCCAGCTCATGGCTGGCCAGTGTAGCGGCAGTGGCGGGAACCTCTCCCGCCTCTGCGGCAGCACTAAGAATGTCCGACTAATAGCTTAGGCCCGGGGGTGCAGGCCTAAACCGGTAGGTGGACATCCCCAGAGGGGTCCCGGACTGTGAGAGGGTGCAGGCCGGGCTGAGGGACCACTCCCCCCACCTGCCCCAGTGCACGAATTTTTGTGCACTGGGCCTCTAGTCATCTTATGTTAGTCTAGTACATTTGTCACGATGAGTAAACAGATATAGAGGTACATTATTGCTGGCCTTGCAATACTATTAACATTATTATTAAAGAGCAATCTACACTTTCTTCAGATTTCCTTAGTTTTTGTTGTTGTTTTTTTATACTATCCCTTTTCTCTTCTAGAATATCACATTCCCTTTCATCCTCACATCTCCTTAGGCTTGTCAGTGACCGTTTCTCAGACTTTCCCTGTTTTGACCATTTGGACAGTTTTGAGGAGTACAAGTCAGGGATTTTGTAGACTATCCCTTAGTTGGGACTGGTCCAATGTTTTTTTCTTGGTTAGACTGGAGTTATGGGTTTGGGGGAGGAAGACCACCGAGGTGAAGTGCCGTTTTCATCACATGCTGTCAAGGGTACATGCTCCCAGCATGACTCATCACCGCGATGTTGACCTACCTTGACCACCACTATCAACTTACTCTGCTCTCCCCTCTCCCGCACTGTTGAAGGGAGTCGCTTTGCGCAGCCCACATTAAAGGAGTGGGAGCTAAGCTCCTCCTTGAAGGTGAAACCCACATAAATCATTTGGAACTCTGCACAGTTTTGCTTCTTCTCCCCCATTTATTTATTTCATTTCATTTCATAATTTATTTGATCAATTAATTGCTGAATCAGACTCATGAATATTTTATATTTATCACTTTGGGTGATAATCCAATACTACTATATTTTGTTGTTCAAATTATTTCAGCTTTGGTCACTGGAGTTCTTTTGGTTGGCTCCTGTGTCCTTTTGACATACTCTCATTAATTTTTTTTAGCACTTCCTTATTTTCTGGCACTACTAGATGCTCCAGGCTCAGCTCGTATTTTCCATGTCCCACTACTGAAATCAGCCATTTCTCCAAGGAGCCTGGCTCTTTTTATCAGAAAATGGTATTAGGACCCGAGATCTGGACACTAAGTGTGCTTGTTGCTACTGGTATCACTGCTTCCAGGCCCCCTCGGCTGATAGGGCAGGAAAATATGTGTGTAAACTAACCCGTGTGCCTATCACACTAACTAGATATATATAGACCTATGGATATTTCGGTATGTAACCATCTGTGTCTATATTAAGGTTAACCTGAGTTCATACAAATGTTCCGGACTCTAATCCATTATCACAAGGATCGTTTAGCCTCCTCCCTTTGCTTGTCTATATCCTCCCTCTTGCCACTCCCACATTGGGAAACCTGGCTCCAGGATCTACCATCCATTCATTGTTCAGTTCCAATACACATGCAGAGTGGTTTTGAATAGTCAGTCATGGGAAACAGCTTCATCAGCTAGGGTACAGTGTTTGTGCAGTTTCATTTGCCTTTCGTCTTCTAAACTCTACTCATTTCCAAAGTTACTTAAATCAAAACCTTTCTCCCCCACCCACTTCAGTGAGGTTGTTTCATACATTTGAAATACAGACAGGTTTATCATAATCTGCGTACCACCCTGGAACGCCCCCATCCTTCTAATTTTTTAAAAATATGCATACATTAAGTTTCACTCTGTGCTGTAAAGTTCTATGGGTTTTAACAAATTCACAGTTTCATGTACGCATCATTGAAGTATCATGCAGAACAATTTCACCCTGATTTAAAAAACACAAAAAAACCCCTTTTGCTTCACCTATTCAATCTTTCTCACACTCTCAAGAAGCCTTCAGCGTTAAAGTATATTTACATGTTTTTCAAAGTTCTTTTTATACCCATCACCTCATTTAATCTGCAAAGCAAGCCTGTGAGCTGGGAAGAGCGGAAGAATCATCCCCACTTTATGGAGGAGGAGACTGAGGCTTGGAAGCATGAACAGGCTCACCTTTGGCCACAGGGCCAGTGAGTGCAGACTCTAGACTGACCCTGATGCTTTATTCCTGTGCTACGCAGGCCAGGCCAGGTTCCCAGACCCCAGAGGAGGAGGCAAGGGGCTGGGTTTCACGCAGGCAGAAGCGTGGGCCGTAAGTGCAAACAAGCCGTGGGCTGATAATGGACACCTGAGCTCTAGTCCTGGTTTTGCCACCTCTCTGTGGTTGGTCTTGACCTAGTCACTTTCCTTGGTTGGGCCTCAGCGTTTCCTCTTCTGTAAAGTGAAGGATGAGGTGAGGCGGCTCCTAAGTCGCATTCAAGTCAGCAGGCTATGTCTGACCTTGGGCATGAGGCTGGCTGCAGTTAGCAGGGAAGTTTGGGGGGTGGTCCAGGGAGATGGCTGAGAAGTAAGGCTCAAGTCAACCACAGAGAAGAGCAGTGGTGGGAGCCCGGCAGGTGTGGCTCAGTAGTTGAGCATCGACCTATGAACCAGGAGGTCACGGTTCGATTCCTAGTCAGGGCACATGCCCGGGTCGCAGGTTCGATCCCCAGTGTGGGGAGTGCAGGAGGTAGCTGATCAATGATTCTCTATCATCATTGATGTTTCTATCTCTGCCTCCCTCTCACTCTTCCTCTCTGAAATCAATACAAATATATTAAAAAATAAAAATTAAAAAAGAATAGTGGTGGGCCGAATTGGAGTCAGAGTGGGTGTGCCCAGAGTGGCAGCTCCCAGCAAGCTCTGCAGATGGTAAAGCCACTGATGCTTTTATATTCCATTCCATGGTTTATGACAGTGTTTCTTAAACTGGGGTTCAAGATCCAATGGGTCAAGATCTGATTTTTTTTAAAAATTGAGTGAAATAGAATAAGGTAGAATAAATCAATGTATTCAACATAATGAAGATAAGTATAAACTTTTGTTTTGATTTTATATGTGTGTGGGTAATGGGTCAAAATGCACAATGTATTGGCCTGGAAGTTGCTGGGTGACAGAGCACATTTTACATACTTACATACCCTGGGAAGAGAGATTATTATTATTATCTCTATTTTCCAAAAGGAAACTGAGGCTCAGAGAGGCCCAATGCTATACTCAAGGTCTCCCGTTAGTAAGGGGCAGGTTATAAAGAAATCTCCTGGCTCCCAGACCCTGCTGGGGTCTCCTGCTTTTGGGCCCAGACAGAACTGTGACACTTGTCTAGCTCACAAATTCCCAAGCGGTGCACCCCATGGGAAGGAGGTCCAGGGTGAAAGGTGTCTGGCCACCTAAACCTGGCCAGTCCCACTTCAGCTTGGCAGATGGAGGGACTGATCACTGTCCACTCACCATTGTCCCAACTGAAGCCCATTCAGTGGGAGCTCGGCCAGGACCAGCTCTGCCAGGGTGGGCAATGAGGGTGGGGAAGTGAGCTGGTGGAAGAGGCTGAGAAAGGTCACAGGGGCCTCCTCCCTCCACCCAGAT